ATTCCTCAAGGGCTTCTTTTCCATGGGTCCAGATGATGAAGATGTCATCAATATAGCGCAAGTAGAGTAGGGGCTTTAGGGGACGAGAGCTGAGGAAGCGTTGTTCTAAATCAGCCATAAAAATGTTGGCATACTGTGGGGCCATGCGGGTACCCATAGCAGTGCCGCTGATCTGAAGGTATACATTGTCCCCAAATGTGAAATAGTTATGGGTAAGGACAAAGTCACAAAGTTCAGCCACCAGGTTAGCCGTGACATTATCGGGGATAGTGTTCTTGACGGCTTGTAGTCCATCTTTGTGTGGAATGTTGGTGTAGAGGGCTTCTACATCCATAGTAGCCAGGATGGTGTTATCAGGAAGATCACTGATGGATTGAAGTTTCCTCAGGAAGTCAGTGGTGTCTCGAAGGTAGCTGGGAGTGTGGGGGGGTGGAGGGTGAGAAAACCTGGATTTGTGCTGGAAATGGCCCACCTGTTGATCACTTTAGATAAGCTATTACCAGCAGGACAGTGGGGTGGGAGGAGGTATTGTTTCATATTCTCTGTGTGTATATAAAGTCTGCTGCAGTTTCCACGGTATGCATCTGATGAAGTGAGCTGTAGCTCACGAAAGCTCATGCTCAAATAAATTTGTTAGTCTCTAAGGTGCCACAAGTACTCCTTTTCTTTTTTCCTTAAAGGTGTTGACAGTCTAGTCAAAGCATTCTGCAGAGACCTTGGCTCTTATGTTCATGAGGTTGGAGATAATAGGCAATGTCTCAAGCATCCATTCTTCATCTAGGTGGTGGTGGTGGCAATGGGGGCTCCAGTAGTGAGAGAGACAGAAACCATTTTAGGACAACTGTAAGAAGTCCCAGGAGAGAAAATGCTGGAGCAGACTGCCAAGCAAACATGATAGTCTGGGAAGATGTAGAGTGAAAGCACTGGTATCAAAGTGGGACAGAGTCAGTGTATGTCTACACTGCAATAAGGAGGTGTGATTGCACCTTATGTCGCCATATCTGAGCTAGATCAAAGCTTGCTCTGGTAACAACAGCAGTGAAGCCTTGGCAGCATGGGCAGGAGTCACTCAAATACATACTTTGGGACCTGTGTGGGGTTGTACTCCCTCAGACAGACCATGCTAAATCAAAAGCTAGCTTGAGTATGTCCACACAAGTTGCAATCCCACCATCTGACAGAAGTGTAGACATACCCTTAGGGAGAGTTTTCCAGAACCAAATATATTTCACCATCAGAAATTTTTCCTAATATTCAGCCTAAATTTATCCCTTGTTAAATTTCATTTCGTTGCTCCTAGTTATAATCCCATATACCTCACTATTCTCACTGTTTACCCCCTTCCAATTCAGGCTGAACGTGGACCAAGAACAGAGCATATGCAGGATTAATAATATCACCAGATCCCCAAGATGAAAATACAGGCTTATGTGTATCATTTGGGTACCAAGCAATTGGGTACCAAGTAAAAAATGGATCAGTAACATGAACTTTAAACATTTTTTCAACAGTTGATACCCGTTACCGTCTTTCTACATCTCTATGTGTGCAGTCTAAATTCATTTAGCTATTTCTTTATCCAAAATAGTATATTTATGTAATTTTGCTGCAGCTAGGAAGCTGAAATATTTTTGAAACACTGAATGCCATGTGACATTAAGTCAGCTTTTCACAGTTCATCTTCTCATTTCACCTGACTGAAGATCTGGTGATTATGCTTTCAGATTTTATTGTTACTTGTAAAGAAGACAACTTCTATTCAGGTAAGAAAAGTGTAGGGTACAAGGACAAAGTTTTATTTGTTTTGTAATTCAAAATGCCAACAAACAAGCTTCAGGGCAAGTTATTGTCACATGAACATCAACCATGTAAACCGTGAATCTGAATCTGCAACCTTCTCCAAGAGCCATATCCATGAAGCTAGAACTGCATTTGTAACAAGCATGCTATTGGCCCCAATTTTACCTTAGATCTGCCAGTTGTATGTGCTTATGAGTATTGAAGGAACGCAAAACATCTATGAGCCAGACTCAGCCCTCAGAGATCAGATAGAGACAAAACTGGTGGTTTTTTTTTTTTCTTCCAAATGGTAGCATCTGGCCCTTAGGGTTTTTAATATACCTACCAGCTCCTACCACAATATCACAAATTGTCATCGTTCATTTTCTGTAATATGTTATATTTATATAGTCTGTGGCAACATCATATAAAACACAAGACTACGGAAGCATATGCCTCAGCAGGCTACCTTAGGTATACTTGTATCATATACATATATTTATGGGGTTTTTTGGTTTACTTTGTTTTCTTTAAGTAAACCTTATTGCTTACAATCTCAACAGATAATTTTCCCACAGTTGTTTGTTTCTGTTGTGGTCAGAGGTTTTTTTTTTTTTAAACAGAAGGCACTAAGTCACCCAGGTAATGCACCTTGTGTGATTAATGCTATGAAATGCATTTCATGTACTTAACCTGTTGTGACTGTGATGTGTGAAAAATCTTTTACCCTTATATTTGGAAAAAAGAAAAGGAGTACTTGTGGCACCTTAGAGACTAACCAATTTATTTGAGCATGAGCTTTCGTGAGCTACAGCTCACTTCATCAGACATCCGATGAAGTGAGCTGTAGCTCACGAAAGCTCATGCTCAAATAAATTGGTTAGTCTCTAAGGTGCCACAAGTACTCCTTTTCTTTTTGCGAACACAGACTAACACGGCTGTTACTCTGAAACCTTATATTTGGGAATCACTATCACTCTGTTTTGTAAACATTAAGTAAAATACCTTTTTAGATGCACCCTCTCCTCATCTTATGGGCTAAATTCTTGCAGGTAATACACATGTAGTATGCATACCAAAAAACCTGTATGTAGCAGTGGGAGAGAATGTTGGAAGTTGCCTGCCTCTGTGCAGGATCCTCCACAAAATTTTAGAGACCTCTCAGCATGTTTGTAACTGAAATAGTGTATATGTGGGCATGAGTATAACAGGGCTTGGCTATGGGGAAGCTAGCATCATCCATATGTATTTGTGTGCCCACATGTATCAACACAGACCAGTGCAACCATGCCATGAAAAACTCTACTCTCAGCAGGAAAAAACTATAGTCACAACTGGTAGAATATGGTTCATATTAGTGACACTTTTCCAGCATATTTGTGTCCATTAAGACTGTCTATTTTAGGAAAATTGCTTTCACTTGTTTTGTACAGTTTTTTCCATTGAGTCTTCTGGGTTTACATGACATGGCTGTCAAAATGCTTGTGCCCAGTTTACAACACAATTTACATGGCTAGTAGCACCAGGGAAACTATACAGATGCAGGAAAATGGCTCAGAAATGTTAGTATAGATAGATGCACTGTTAGAGGTCAGTTTCCTCACATTAGCCAGAATTTGGCATGCTCTCTGTGTTTATCTGGAGAAGGTTTATTCAAATTAGAAACACATGGCTATATGGACCATATTGCTTGTCTTGTTATAACTATTTCATAGTGAATAGGCAGGAGACATGGAATTTATTCTTGGTTTTGTCACTGATCTGCTCTGTGACCTTGGGCAAGACACTTCACTTCTCTGTGCCTCTGTTTTCTCTCCCACCCTTCCTCTGTCTTGCTTACTTGGACTGTAAACTCATCCGGACAAAGACTGTCTGTGTTTATACAGCACCTAGCATAATGGAGTCCTGATCTTGGTTGGGGCCTCTAGGCCCTACTCTAATACCAATACATTATTACTATTATTTATAACATCTGAAATACTTGTTTGTTATAGTGACTACAGAGTGTTGTAAAAATAAAAATACACGTTTTGGGAACATAGGAGTTCTCATACTTCATGAGAACAATGGTCCCTTCAGCTGAGATTCCTGTGTTTGACAGTAGCCAGTGCCAACTGTTTCAGAGGAAATTGCATTAAACCCTGCATGAAGTAGTAATGGGATAACCTCTACCCAGTTGAGAAGAAGCTTATCCTGTGGGCAATTTATCTTTATGCATTGGAGCATAAGAATTTATATCCCTTCCAAATTTACTATTGTAATTCTGGGTGTGTTCTTTCATAAGTCACTGGTGGAGCTCTGGCTCAAATTGTTTATGCAGGGACTGAGTTTTTTGTAGTCTATCCAAAGCATCATGGAAGGACCACTTCCCAGGAGTGAATCCTGTATCTACAGAGCACTGCCTATGTTAACAAAGGCCTTAGTTTCAGAATGTTTGATTATGGTAACTGGTTTTAAAATAAAAAGACTTAAAGGGAACATCTGAATTCCCCCTTGTAAAAACAGGCTACAGTATTCTATAGTAACTTCCCCAAGTTCTGCAGCAGTATTATGGTGCAATGCAGGAGTCTGGACAATTACTACTGTAGATTATTGCTGTACATACTTTTATTATAAGGGACATTGTCTTTGTGAATGGAGATCGGACCTAAACCAAAATCCTCAGGGTAAGCACCCTGTTCCAGAAGGTGACGTGTGGCTCTGCACTTCGTGACTGGCTCTATTTAAAATAGGCGAAAGCGAAAGTTCACACATGGATGTGGGTGCGCATTTTGTGGCTAGGGTCCCTATGGAGTTGTGACAGGCAGGGGCAAAGGAGGGTGCCCCGTGAAGGTACTGCTCTCATGCAGTTTTGGAGAGGAAAAGCCCTGTGCTACCCCAGCTGAGGACTGGGGAGGGGGGTCAGCTTTGGCCTGAACTTTGCTCCTCGGCTGCCCTCTCGCTGGGGGTCTGTGTGCTGGGGTGGGGGTTGCGCTGCAAAGGCAGGGCAGTTTGCTGGGCCCCAGGCCCCCCCCACACCTTGCTCAGCCTTGGGCATTGTTTGCACACCTCGTCCCTTCTGCTTCCGGAGGCAGCGCCGGGGATGATTTGCTGCAGATGACATCAGCTGTGGATGCTGGAACGGCGGCAGCAGCAACGCGCCGGGATGTGCTGGGTCCCCTCCTCCTCCCCGGGTCCCAGCCCTGCACCGTCTCGGTATAAAAGCGCCGCCGCCTCCCCGCCCGCCCTCACTCTCCTGCTGCCCGCAGCCCGGCACCACTCGGCAGCTCCGCGCCGAGGAGGGAGGCACCGCTGGAGATAATCCTTTCCCTCCCTGCCCCCCGCCCCGAGCAGCAGCAAGAGGAGGAGAGGGGCTGGCAGGATGGCGACCGTGGTGGTCGAAGCGGAGCCGGACCCGTCTTGTAGCATCCCCAACCCCGCGTCCCCCACGCCCAGCCTCTCGCACCGCTTCCTCGACAGCAAATTCTACCTGCTGGTGGTCATCGGCGAGCTCGTGACCGAGGAGCACCTGAGGCGAGCCATCGGCAACATAGAGCGAGGTAAGGTGCCCGGCCCGCCCCGAGAACAGCCCTTCTGCTGCGGGTGGGAGGCACGGGGACAACCACAGGTTGCACAGAAGTCCTTGCTGTTGTCTCCTCTTTGGAGACCCTCCCCGCCCTCCCTTTTTATCGGCCATAAATGCCCCCGGTTCGGCGCCCGCCCGTGGCTCCTCACCGTCTGCCACGAGCGGGGCTGCAGCTCGCAGCGTCCGGCGCCAGGAGTCAAGATGTTGCCTTCACTAAACCACAAGGAGAAAAGAATCTGATGCAACCACTCCCTTTGCTCGGAGGGGGGAAAATCCTCCGCTCCGAGCTGCAGCGCTAACAGTTGGCAACGGGGCTAGCCCAGCCCAGCCCAGCCAGGCTTCAACCTCCTCGGCTGGCTGACGCGCCTTGGAGGGGTCGGGAGGGTGGCCGGGGTTGGCACCGGCGGAGGGAGGCAGCTGTGGTTCCCTGAAGCGGTTTCGGTGGTTCCGTTTGGCGCATGGGGGGAGAATTTTCCTCTTAGCTCGAGGAGCGCCCCACCTTGAGTGACATCATTGCCCATTTTTCCATTTCACAAGGAAAACTGGGGAGAGCCAAACGGAAATCTCTGCCTGCTGGAGAGGGGGCTTATTTTCTGCCCCTTTTCTTTACAACCCCCCCTCCCCCCGACCGTGTCCCTTCTCCATCGAGAATGTCCAGACATAAAGAAGGGGGGTCAGAGACTGCAGGAATCTGATCTTTGTGTTCAAGCCAATGTTAATCGAGTAGTTTAGGTGCAGTATCATGAGACATACGTGGCTATTTAGTCCATAAAGCAGCAGCAGAAATTAAGGAGGAGGCTCCTTCTATATCGCGCTGGCTTCCCCCGCACAAAGATCTGCAGTTGGCTTTTGCTGCACCCACACAGCCTAAGACACAAGGCAGGAGAAGGTGAACGGGTGAGACAACAGACCTCTCCCTCCACTGCAACTGATCTCGAGCCGTCCCCCCCACTATTGCTTCTCTGTGTCCCCCCCGCCATTGTTACTCCGCTGTGCTAGTGGGTTTTTCTGCAGAGGTCGTTCCGGTCTTCTGCAGCAGCAATGCCTCCCTCGCTTTCTCTATTCCCCTCTTGGTGCTGCTGGAGTCTGTCTGCCCAGAGATACCGGCTCGTGGGCGTGGTGCAGTCCGCACTGCGGTCCCTATGGCAGCCCAGAGCGGACAAAGGGCGTTCACATAGCCAAGAAAAAATACATTTTAAACAATTATTTTAAAAAACAGACTGCATTTCGTCACTGCAAAATAAAATCTAAGAGATTTGGGGAGTCGTAGTTCTGAATAGCGAGGAACCCCTGAGCAGGAACGCAGCTGCTTCTATTGTTTCTAACTTTCAGCAATAAGAGTTTTTGTTTGCTTTAGAGAATTTTATAGGAATAGATTTTTATAGAAGAAAAACAACAAAGATTTAAGTGATTAAAAATTTAAATATCTAAACATTCACTCTCACAATCCTTACATTATCCAGCTACAGCTGCTATTATTCAGAATATTTGCTATATTTTTTTTAAAAGTCACAACTCCATCAAAATATAAGTAAGAAAATCATGATTTTTCAATCAGTCCTTGCTATTGTTTCTAAATAATAGATTTCAGTGAATTGGAAAATGCTATGATGGCACAATATTGATATGTAGTACAAGTAAAACCATTACTAGATGTCATAGTTTATTAAGCTACATTACTGATGTTTTTGTAACAAATGTGTTTTCTTTTTTGGGCTGTGAGGGTAGAGATTTCAGAAAATGTCCATTGTCAGAGAGAGACCTTTTAAACAGTGAATTGGTTACCGTTCCTGGCTTATAGGTGTGGTTCAGCAGTCTCAATAGGACTTTAATTGTCTCTTCCTATTGTACCTTCACCACCCACCCACCATCTGTCTTACTTCATTATTTTTTCCCCAGATTTATTTTTTACTCCTTTCTGATTAAGGATTAGCTAGTCACAGCTAACCACCTTTTAAAATTACCTTTTTTATCTTTATAGCTGCCATTGTCTTCCAGTGAAAACTGTTGTTGCTCTGCTCTGTAATGTAGAGCCACTTGGTCAGTGTATTTTCCTAATTTTACCCAAGTTTTGATTAAGTTAAAGCTGAGTTGGCTGCATTTTTAAATCAAATTATTAATAATTAATAGAGCAAACGGATGTGTCTTCTGCCCTCAAGACATCTGATGTCATCCTTCTTCTGAAGAAATCCTCTTCAGGCTCTTGAAGCTTCTGCTGTGTAATTCCTGCTGTATGGTTTCCATTGCTGCCACCTAAACTCACAAAGCATAGCATATTTTAAATATTTATAAGCAACCCTGTGGGCTGTCTACTCAAAATTTTGGATTAGAAGTCACCTCTCTCCTGCAGGTGGCAGATCTGATTAGGAATTCAGCTGCTGGAGATATCACTGATTTTATGTTCATCTGCTTTGTTCTGGATTAACACACTGGGGGAGTCTGTAGCTATATATTTGTGGAATAAATATGGGCTTGATGAATCTCCTCTTTTCAGAGGAAAGCTCACTACTATCTGGAAAAAATAGTCCATTCCAAAACCATCCATTCTCAACAAGGCCTTCAAGAGTTCAGCGTCCCTGTTAACTCTTCTTTGCTGTCTTCTCTGGTATGTCTTTTGAGCATCATCACTGAAGATTGTGGATTCTTGTACAGTACTGAAGAAAAACAGAATCAGAGAAGATATTATCTGATAATTTACATCAGTGGGTTGGTCTTACACAGCCTGAATGATTGCAGATTCAGTTGCTTTAAATTTCATGAAGAGAGGGTGTCTTGTTTTGAGTTTGCCAACTGTATTTTTAAATTCTGAAGTATCTCTTTCTATATAACTACTTTGAAATGGCAGTCTTCTAGTGGTCTAGGGTTGCCTTCTGATGTGTCAAAAAATGGCTTCAGTATCTATCCACTGGTCTAGCACACAGACTAAGGCTTGTGGGTGTGCCCATTCTGCTGTATAATTAGTCCAGGGGCTAGCGGCATCTGTATTCCTAATACCCCGGAAAGAAGTAATGATCCCAGGTCCATTATATTTTCACTGACTGTATATTGTTATACATGTAATATTTATCTTTAAATTGTCCTTGGTTTATAGATTTAATCTCCATCTCACTTAAACCTGACGTTATCACTTTTACTATTTGAAATATGGTGTTTATATCAGAAATGCTGAATCATGGACCTTCAAGTATAGAAAATGCTCTTTAAGATAAAGAAAATAATTACATTTCATTTTAAGCTTCCAGCATTTTCTTGATTCTTGTGTTTTGCATATTGACAGGCTGAGTGATCTGGCTCTGTTCCAGTATTGTATTGTAGACTCTCAATCCAGGCATAAATCTACACTCTACACATTTGCATCAAAAGGATGTCAATGCACCGAATGATGGCAGGACAGACACCATGTACCTGCAGCATCACTGAATCAATGTCTGTGTTGCTTAATAGGTCTACCAAATGCTTGTAGTCTATCCCTAAACAACACCATTGCTTATCACTCAGGGTTTGCTATCATAGGTCAATGAGCTGTTGTCTGGAGGTTGCCTGAGTTTAGGACTTGTTTAATCACCATTGTTTAGCTTCAAGATTTATGGTCAGTGCACATTTACAAACAGCATTTCTCTGATGTGCTACTTATCTGGATGACGGTTGACTGCTGGGTGTGATATCTTTAAGATTATTCTTGATTTGAAGTATTTGACACATGGAAATAATTAAATATGAACACTGTTAGTGTGGTGTATTTAATTCCCAAATTCATTCACCAAAAAACTGCATGACTAAGAGGTTTCTAGAAAACGAAGATAGGCAGACTCCTAGCAGAGGGTGACCTCCAGTGCCTACATACAAATATGTTACAATTCAAGTAGCGAGTGAGTCCCTCCATAGTTCAACTAAGTAATTTAGTTAGGGAATTATTTTCATAAACTGTTATGAAATGTATGGAAAATTGTGTATTTCTAAAACTTATATAGTGTTTAAAAATTGCAGTTAATTAATAAAGTGACATACCCCAATATCAGGCACATTGATAGGCTGGTTGAAAAGCTGTCATAAAGACCCTTATGAAAAATCATCAAAAGTAGCTACTCTCTGTGCCTTCTGGACTTGCTGCAGAATGAGCATTCCTATGATGTCATTGGTGGCACAAAGTAGCTATTGGATCAAAACAGCAAACTGATAGTTAAATCATCTCCTCCCCTGCAAAATCATTTGGAAATGGGAGGAATAAACCTGTATTTCAACAGATTTGAAGATGCAGAAAGTATTAGATGGCTTTCTCTCTATAGCAAAGGCCTCTGGAGTGGGCAGGGGGCAAGGGCCTTGAAATGCAGATCCTCAAACTTTTTGTATGGGGAGTCCAGTCATCAAACCTATTGATCTCAGGCCAACCATGCAGAGTGCTGAACTCTCTCTGTGACTTCTCTTTCTTTTCATCCCTACCATGCACAGTGTGCCTCCCACAGGAGTCAAGCTAGGACTAGGGTTCTCCCCCCCAGAGTTAAAAGAAAGTGGGGAAACAGGGCTGCTAGTTTGAGCGTAGTCATGTTGGAATTTCCAAGGGATGGTACCATATTGAGCAGCTGCCCCAACCCTTACTCTATCTCCTCCAACTGGGTCCTCCCTCCCCAAATACTGCAGATCCCCAACTCCACAGTTGCATGACAGGACATGTACAGAAAAGAAGGGAAAAAACAGAGAGACAATTCAGCTTATGGGAATGGGAAGCGGCTGATACCATTATAGGCTCTGCTCCTTTCCCTCTGCCCATCCACTTGCCATCCAGCTTGGCTAGTTTGTGCTGGTCTAATCACCGCACCCCAGCAGAAGAGGATAAACGTTTAAATTTATTTTCAAAGTGGTGCGAGTTCCTGTACCTTATTGGAGAACTGCCTGCACACTTTTAAAAAAATGAAGAATTTTTGAGTTGTAGAAAAATATAAAACATTGCAGACAATTTCATATTTGGTTTTCTCATTCCTGTGATATTGAAACTGGTAACTTTATTCCCCCACTTGCAACTATAAACTTTTAAAAATATTTATTATGAAAACATAAGTTTCAGTGCCTTACATGGGTCAAGAATCTTCCTCTTTAACTGAGAAAAGAAACTGGATAGCAAAGTAGTAGGACCGTTTCCAAGCTTAATTTAAGAGAGGAGATCAAGTAGTATATTTTATATTTGAGAGAGACAGGATTTTGACACTTCTTGAACAAAGGGAATAAAGTAACAATTTATATTTTCACTTTAAATGAGATGGCTCATTGCTAGCATAACAGCTCGTCATTAAGAGATCTGCAAATTTAATACTTAAAGTACTGGGACTATAATATATGTAAGGTGTCATTTTTTTTCTTTCATGGGAGCAAACACAATGATCTTGTAATGTGGCTAAAATATTCCCCTGAATAATTTGATTTTATGCAATTCAGTAGCTAATGATCAGTAAAAACAATGTATTATGTTGCAAGTCAGTTTGGGAGCATATACTGTCAATATATATGTCATAATGCTGCAGAATCAACCAGCAATTCTCAGATTGCAGGAGCCACTGTTTTTTAGCACCGATGAACTGCCTTTTCCTCATTTCTCACTGACCACTGTCTTCAGTCGTGTCTGAGAATGTTCAGCATCATGCAAGATTGAGCTATAGTGAGTGCAAATGAACAAAACAGCTGTCAAATGGATATCCGAGAGAGGAAGGATGGGACACAGGCAGGCTTTGGAATGGAGAAATATTTAGCTCTGATGAATGAGAATCCAAAATATTCAGCTGAAAACTTTCAAATCACACATGTCAAATATGAATATATATTGTGTTTTGACTTGTAGGAATCCGATCATGGGACACAAATCTGATTGAATGCAACTTAGACCAAGAACTGAAACTTTTTGTGTCTCGCCATTCAGCTCGGTTCTCTCCTGAAGTTCGAGGTAAGACTTCTTTTTAGTTTTGACCAATGTTTGGCATAGCTTTTTTTAAAAAACAAAACAACAACAACAACAAAAAACCGTACTGCATGACTTAGCTTAGTTTTTAGTCTCTGACACAGGATGATTTTCTCTATTTTAAAAAAAAAAAAAGAAACTTCAGACATAATATTCTTTTGTCAAAATATTCAGATATCTGATGCAATATATTTGGTAGTACTTTTTAAGGTACGCAAACTAAAACCTATGCTTTAGGTATGTTGCATGTTCAACGCTATGTTCAACTTCATTATATATTGATATTTGGGTGCTGCTGAGGTTCAGGCAATATTCATTATTTGAATGAGTGGTTGTTTTCCTTAAGGTAAAGTGACCGATTAACAGCCCTGGAGACTGGAGGTCTTTTATCAGAATAGGCAAAGCACAATCCCAGCAGTGTGCCTTGATCCTGACTTGGATGGACTACCTCTGGAGAGACAGGAGGGGTGGTTCGTTCTCTAAAATCATTCACTCGTGATTCTCTCTGAGAGTAAGTCTATAACAAAAGGTGGAGGTTTTGTGACATGGAAATCTGTTCATAAGGAACTGGAGTTAGCCTATCAACTCATGCTGAACAGGTCACCAAAGAGCTATCAAAAGGTAGTAACTTTTGGTCACTACTTACTTGGGCTGGAATTGAACAGATAACTGAGAGGGGAAAAACTCCATGGCCCTGTAACAATTCTCTGTCCCATCCATTTCCTTGCTTAAGGTACATTTTGAGAATGAATGAGTAAGAAGCTTTTGCTTTCTCATGAAGTTCAGGTATTTCTTTGCATCAGAGCAGGCTCTGTTCAGCAAATTACTGTCTTTAAACTTACTTTAAACAAGGTTACACCCCATCCCTCAGTTAATGAAAAGGGTTTTCAGCCACCAGAAACCACAGATCCCCTGAGATCTATGTAAACCTCAGGGGAATCCAGTAGAAGACCTGTGCATCAGCACCAGTTCCACAGAATGGAATATTTGTAATTTAAAGATTAATATAACTTTCAGCTGATTCCCCATAGTTGGTTGGGGACGGGGAGAGGGCCCTGCCCCTTTTAATCTCAAATCCATCCCCCTCGTCACACAGCACCTCAGACTGTTTTCGAGGGCCTTCTGTTGCCTTTGGGTATGATGGAGGGGCACTGCTACAGAAATGGCCCCTGGCCACCCTCTTGTTATACAGAAAGGGAGGACTACATATGGACATGCAGGGGAGTGCATGTTATCTGGCTTACTCTGGGATTCATTGTTCAGTTAAGTTAATTTCTTCTCCCCCTACAAGTCAGCTTTTTCTTTTCCCCTATTTTGAACTATGACTGCACCTAAACTGCTAATTTTGCAGTATGATAAAGCCCTTCAGAATTGGTATAATTCCTGTTCTGTGAACATGGCTTGTATAGTGTTGTTTGAGTTGCTCAGATAGAATTTTCCACTCCCCTGCTTTGAATGGTTGAGGGAACACTTTTCTTTCACTTTCATGGGGACTGTGGACTCTTATGGGAGGCATGAGACCTAAATCTTCTCTTCTGACTTCTCTGAAAGCCTGCTTTTCAGTTGAGGATTTGTACCAATAAAAATTAATTTTATAGTTTGTTGTGAATCATACAGAATTGACTTCTGTCATTTCATGGGAATCTGATGATTGGTAAGTTTTTTCTAACTTTTTTTTTTTTAAACAAATCTTGAGTTTAGGCACGTGTACAATCAACATTAGATTTTAATTAATACTATACAGTCTTCTCAAAGGAATTTAGGTTGTTTTCACTGGTGAAATATTTGTGGATGTAAGCGTAACAACTAATGCAGCATAATATTGACTAAATAACATTAAAATTACTGGTCATGAGCATGGTTGGGATGGCTATGAAATGCTGCTACAGCAGATTCCTAGAGTCAGTATCACAAATTGTAACAAAGAGATTCAGATTACTCTTGCAGTATTCACCCTGTCATCTTGGATAACACACTGAAGCTTTTTCTGTAATTTTGAGCAGCATTCGTTACACCATTTGTCTCTAATAAACAGACTGGTGGCAAAGTCTATGCACATTTGGTCAGATTTAGAACACCATATTTTTTTTTAATCTGTTCTGCTGTTTCACAGGCCAAGGGGAAAAGTCCAAAAATTTTTGAACATCTAGGTCCTGGTCTTGCCATCATTGACTTTCATGGAAGCAGGATCAGATCCAAAGTACATATCTTACAATTTGGTTTAAATTTCATTGATCATGAACCAAATTCAGCTGTTTAGTCACACAAGTTTCCCTTTTGTTGCTTTGAGAGTACTTGAGTATGACTAGCAGGATTTGACCCTGAGGGTGGAACTGTACATTACACCTAAAATTTAATTTGTAAATGTCTAATTTAAGATTTCAGCTAAAAACTTCTTTGCCTTTATTTTAGCAAAAACATGACCATGCATTTCAGATTTTCAGGAAGTTCTGTTAAATGGCTTAACTTGGGACATTATTTTTTGATAGGTTTACATGAATTAAAACCAAGCAAATCTTACTTCATTTTTTGTAAATGATAGAGGATTATACACTATTTTTCAATGGAAAGATTATAAAATTGTCTAGGAAATATTCTCTAGGAATTGTATTTTTAGCAGCCTTTTTTTGTCTAGACTTGCCTGTTTAGTCTGTCATTGTGTAGAATTACAGCTTAATTGTATGTGACTTGAATTCATCACCATCTCTATGACAAGCAGTAATGAATGTGTTTTCTAGTACTGCTCAGTCTTTACAATAAGACACACAAATCTGTGTTCAAAGGCATTAAAGAATCTGTCTTAAACCTGAAAAAGTGAGGAAATTCAGAAGTGAAGATGGCACTCTAGGTCAAATTCTACCCCCAGATGCTTGTATAAGACTCCCATTGACCTCAGTGACATCCCTCTTAACAGAACCGAGAACAAAATTTTGGGCTTTATCCTTAGTGCCTTGGTACTGAACCCATGTGAGACTCCATTGTGCTTTCCATTTTGTGCCATGAAAAGGAGGCCTTTTTTGGAGCCGTTTTTGAATAAAATGTCAAAGTAACTGATTTCTGTTGAAATTTCTGAGCCTGGATTGAAATTAAATTAACATTGATTTCACAACAGAGTTAACATTTTGCGTGAAGTGTAAAACCGACTAAATTTCTCCTCATCTTGGAAAATCCGGGTAGCTAAGACCCATGTTCAGTAAAACCAATATACAATGTTCATCATGGGGAAAAAAAAAATCAACCTGATGAGATTCCAGTAGTGCCCATCATATGTAAGGTGGGGGTATAGTTAAATAATAAATGTCACCTTTAATTTTGAAACTTCCTGCTTTTGCCTGTTTAAAACCAAGCCCTTAGTGTGACTCAAACATAAAGCCAGATAAACTTTTGGGGGTAGGGACTGTCTTTACTAATGTTTGTGTAGAACTTAGCACAATGGGGTCCTTCACCTGGTGGAGGCCCTCTAGGTGCTACCACAATATAAATGTGTAACAATAATTTTGTGCAGTCCCTGCATGGCTGCACAGTGACAGAGGCAAGAGTAATAAGTTTCCCCGCACCTTTCACAGCAATTCAAAGGCTACGCAAAGCAACACTGGAAACAGGGTATGTTACTCCAAATGATGGTATGATGGAGGGGGAGTCACACTCATAAGGTGCTCAGTACCATGTGGACACAAGAACAAATGGATATAAACTGGCCATCAGGAAGTTTAGACTTGAAATTAGACGAAGGTTTCTAACCATCAGAGGAGTGAAGTTCTGGAATAGCCTTCCAAGGGGAGCAGTGGAGGCAAAAGACCTATCTGGCTTCAAGACTAAGTTTATTGAGGGGATGGTATGATGGGATAGCCTAATTTTGGCAATTAATTGATCTTTGACTATTAGCGGTAAATATGCCCAATGGCCTGTGATGGGATGCTAGATAGGGTGGGATCTGAGTTACTACAGAGAATTCTTTCCTGGGTATCTGGTTGGTGAGTCTTGCCCACATGCGCAGGGTTTAGATGATCACCATATTTGGGGTCGGGAAGGAATTTTCCTCCAAGGGAGATTGGCAGAGGCCTTGGGGGTTTTTCACCTTCCTCTGCAGCATGGGGCACAGGTCACTTGCTGGAGGATTCTCTGCACCTTGAAGTCTTTAAACCATGAGTTGAGGACTTCAGTAGCTCAGACATAGGTCAGGGGTTTGTTACAGGAGTGGGTGGGTGAGATTCTGTGGCCTGCGTTGTGTAGGAGGTCAGACTAGATGATCATAATGGTCCTTTCTGACCTTTAAAGTCTATGAGGCACTGAAGAGAATATGCCTTTCCTGAGCATCCTTACTTTTTACATTTGTATATCTGAGGAATGAGTTAATTTGAGGCCTAATTTTGCTCCCACTGCAGTGAATGGCAAAACTCCCATTGATATCAATGGGAATAGAATTAATTCCCAACATATATATATTTTTTAAATGTTATAAAAGAATAAATTCACTTGCTAGTGTTCTGTATACTCAGTTATAGCCAGAATGGTACTTTAAAAAGACAATATATCCTGCCCTCAGAAATGTGGTTTTGAATGGAAATGCTAACAGGCCCTTTGCTATGGCTTATGCAGTAGCTGAGTTAGCAGGCCCCTTAATAAAAAATCTTGCACTGATGATGTCAGGTCCTGGTGAAAAATGAATAGCAAAGCTAATAAAATGGTTGCCAAGACAACAAGGAACACTACTTAAAATGAATACTCTAGTGCATACTTCTTTGTTTTCTTCATCATGAACTGATAATTTCCATCATATTTTGAAGTAAACTTGAAAAGAAGAGAAAATCTCACGCACGCAACAGTTTGTGTGTCATGCTGAGATGAGGGTGGAAAAGTACTGAATGGTGTTTTATTTTAAAATGAAGCTACTTTTAAACAATTTGTTAATCCTTTTAAAATTTAAAACTTATTTTTCAAGTGCATAATAGGTGAAATTCTTCTTACACGAAGCAAGAGTAAAT